AAAGTGAAAGGAGATGCAGTTCGCTCGCGTCGGATACAGCCGGTACTCCGGGCAGTCCCTCAGAGTCTTCCATCTATATGACTCGGTGAGCCACGCTTTTGGGGTGAGGCGGAGTATCATCGATCCCAGTGATACAATGTATATACCCCCACCCTTGATCCTAGAGCGACCACCTAAAGTTGCTTCAACGCTTATGGGATCACAGGCGTCGGGATCCAAAGTCTATCCCTGTCCGCCTGAGTGCGGAGTGGGGCGCAGAGCACGCAAACGGTGTTTATGGGCGGCATTGGTCAGCCGCGGAGGATGTAATGCTTAAGGCCCCGGGTGGGGATAACATTAGGCAACACTTCCCACTGGACCAAACGCTACTCGGTCGTGTGGTTTCGGGATCAGACCCCATAGCGTGGGATGAGACCAAAACGCCCCCAACCGGATTCCAAGGCTCGTTTCCCAGACCCCGGTACCACGAATTTGGCAAACCGGGCAAAGGGGGATAGCCGCGTTCCATGGGTGTCTTTGCCAATTGAAGACGACCCATCCAGCCCTGAGGGCAGAGTTGCTTGAGCACATTATTATGCGTGACCAGCATTCTGGAGACCTTGGAGGCAGAATGCACCAGCCTCCTAGACCAGGCGACATTTTTACTGGTGGGTCTCCGCACATCTAGCATGCGACACCCCCTAGTGTCGCCTGGCTCTCTTGGCCAGGGCCACTACCATGCTATGGGACGCGGCCTTAGACGCACGTGTTTTTGTCGACAAGCTGAGCCGGGGTACGTCCCCCACCGCAGTGACATAGACTGAACATCCTCCACCCTCTTTGTTCAGGGAATGGTGGGTACAGTCTTGGAGCTTCGGAGTGCAATGAACCAGAAGGTTCAGATCAAATCCGCTAGCCAGTTGGTCCTGCCATGGGCAAACTGAGGCCACCCCAAGCACAGAAAACACAATGCCCTAGGGCGTCGTCCGCTAGCCAGAGTCAGCCAGGAGGCAAGCGCTTATACCCTTCCATGGGAGGGGAGGGTAGTGGCGCGCCCCCAGGGAGGTAAGAGCCAGGTGGTGGCTCCTCACCCTCCCTGGGCGGACGTCTACCCGGCAGCAGGGGAGGCATGTTTGACGCTCACCTCTGCAACTTAGGTCACAGGTCACAACTTAGTGACTACTTCAGGCCTTGGGAAGCTCACCTTATGTGGGAAGGGAGCAACTGCCGAACACATGGCCACATATCCCTGTCGTACACAGATTGCGCCGGTGTAGTCCGGTTTGGAGACGGTGGATGACCGATCCCTGGACCTTTCCAGGTGGTGACATCCGTTTACGAGATACTGCTGAAATCTCCATTTCCCCCCCGTCAGTGTTCCCCCTGTTGGGCACTGCCAGGGGACTCCCGCAAGGCGGAAGCAATCAGACACGAAGTAGCAGTTTGCTGGGGAAAGACGCCATACACAGGGTACATCAGCCGGAACTAAGGCCAGGCTTCTACCCAAATGTGTTCGTAGTACCAAATCTACAAGTGGCAGGCGTCCAGTTTTGGACCTCGGCAGACTGAATCAGTACGTGCTCCTCGAGCGGTTCCACATGGAGACACCATTCAGGGTTCTTCTCTCCATCCACCGTTTTGATGGGCTAGCCC